GCAGTGGTGTGATGTAATGGAAACTTGCAGTATGGCGGGGAAGGTGGGAGTCATTTCCTAAGGCTGTGAGTCTGTGGGAGCAAGGAGTGGAGCAAAGCTGCAGAGCTCACCTTGGCACAGATGCTCAGCCAGGGCTGGTGGGTGCCAGTGTTTTGCGCTGGGCTGTGTGACCTGGGGCAATGACAGGGTGTAAGGGGCAAAAACCCAAACACAGGAAGGTGGTACCACAGCTGCTATGGGGTCCAGCACAGAGCTGTGGCATGGCCCTGGCAGCCTCTCAGTTTGTATCACAGCGAAATTTGTTGGACTTATGGCACTGACTTGAATTAAGAAGAGCTTGACCACAAATGGTTATTTTTAATCTAGGTCATGTTTAGTATAACACATGCAGGTGTGTGTGCAGGCCCATCTGGGGATGGGGATGCAGAGCAGTGGCGTACAAGGCAGTGGGGCTGCTTTAACTGCTGTTGCCACTAAAAGAAATGATCTTCTATGGCCCGCGATGGGATCCTAATGGAAGATGGGTAGCTAGTATTAAAGTACAGTTCTTCCTGAACTGGTCAAAGTCTGCGCTTCTGGCAAAGGGCCTCCATGCATCAGTGCTGGTGGTGATATGGGGGGGGGAGGTAAGGGGCAGTCTGGCTGGGGACACAGGGAAGGGAGTAGAGTGCCACTCCTTCTGGCAACAGGAAGGGTTTAGGTTGTATCAGGAGTGGAATAGTTATGCTATCGAAAGCCTTCAAAGCATGAACTCTTAATTAGGGTGACGAAGGAAAGAGAAGTCGCAGGTCATAGACCTGTAGTTAACTAAAAAATGCTGGTATGTGTGAAGCCCATAGTCATAAGAGCTGGAAGTGGCCAGGAGATGTTTGTGAGTCATTTCACTGATCCACAGAGAACAAGAAATCCAGACTGCTAATGCATCTGGTTAGTTATGACTAGAGTCAAAACTATTGCAATCGGTGAGGTTAAGCCAGCAAATTCAGTAGCCTTCTTTGCCATAGTTACTGATGCAACAGCTAAAGGTTATGCAATTAGATGTAGTATACTTTGATTTCAGAAAGCCAATTGGTACAGTGCCGTGCATAGACATAAGGAAAATATATTGTTTCCCAATTAAGTAAAAATGCCATGGTTTAGAAAGTAGTTTTCCAGCAGGGAGCAGTTGTTAACAGGAAGACATGAAGACCACCATTAGTCCAGCATTTAGAGAAGGTACGATCTACACCTGCATTATTTTATACAACAAAACAAGGTTTATTTGGTTCATTCATCAAGGCTGATGGCCTCGATGAAGGTGGATGTTGAGTGGGGTCATGTGTGCTGGGGCATCAGCCTGGAGGCTGCAGGAGAGACAGGCTAAAGGATGGGGAGCTCCAGGGGAGCAACAGATCCAATTCACCAGGTGTCTTGGATGGGGAAAAGGGCATGTGTGGTGCAGAAATAAGCCTGCGCAACAAGCAGGGAGCCTCAGGTTATAGCCTCAAATTGTGAGTGAGAATGTCTTGCAACGGTTTCCAGTAAGTGACTGCAATCTGATGGTAGTTGCTAAGAAGGCCATTCAAACTGATTTATGTATAAGACATAAAAGTTAATGTCAAACTGACTCTGCCAGCATGAAAAGCTCTGGTCCAAGTGCATTCCCTCCTAGTCCAAGTGCATTCCCTCCTTACCACATGAGTGATGAGGCCAGAGGGGATGCAGACAGCAGAAGTAGTAGTTTCCTTCCCAGTTTCCTACAGAAGACATGAAGGAAGAAGCTAGAAGGACTTCAGGGTGACTTGCCGTTGTTTGCCACAGTGGAGGGTCCTGTCTAGAGCACGGTAATGGACTTGCACACACACAGGTTTTAAAACTGCTTTAAATCTCTTATTGAGAGGTGAGTAGGTGTAAATCATCCAGTGCTTACACACGGGATTGAACCTGGTTGCACACAATGTATTCATAAATAATTTTGCTTGTCAGACCAAGGTGGGGGGTATCTGAAGTGAACTGCAGTATTTATTGAAATACATTGAATGGTTGTGTGCAGCACAATGATGCGGAGCAAAGGAGTTCACATTTCAGAATGAGATCTGGTATAATTCAGTTTGAAATGAGATCACTGGAGCCTGCTGCCTGGGTCTTGTTTTCCCTGTTTCAGGCTTTCATCCACACTGAACTTCTGCCATGACTGAATCCTGCAAAGGTTTCCAGGCAGGTTTCTGGTCTGAGTGCCAGCCTGATTGGGTAAGCTGATGAGCTATAAGAAGATCAGAGTTTGACAAGGGGTGTATTGCAGGTAAACAGTGACGCTTTTCCTACAGCTGAGATTTAGCATAGCAATGAAATACGTTGCATCCTCAGAGGTAAGGAATGGTGCTTGAAGAAGCCCCAGGAAAAATACCAAGTAGTGCATTAAATTGATAAGTAGAACTGATAAGTTACATGGTGAGAGACTGAGAGGAGAATCAAGTGCAGATATGATCACAGCCTATAAATACTGTCAACATGACAGCACAGATGAGCAAAAGGAAGAGTATTTGTTATCTAATGGAAAACAAGCTTTAGGAAGAGCAGTCATCACAGCAGCAGGCTGGTGGAGGGGATCCCCAGGAGTGGGTGACACTAATCAGCCAGGATGGATGGAGATAAGGTCTTGTGGGACAATAGCAGATACAACTGTGACATGCAGACAGGTGCATTGGAGACCCATGCTGTCCTTGCCTGCCTCGATGGTTCTGTGTGGACCAGGAGGTACAAGTGCACCAGAGGGAGGCCCTCAAGGGTCTGCAGTATTCCCGGCAAAGAAGAGGCATTTGCTGTCCCACTGAAGATTTGGAAGGACAGTGTTTGGTGCATGTGTCACTGTTCCTGCCTGTGCTCCCGTGCTTTTAGGGAGTGTGCTGGTGGGGTGCAGCAGTGGAGGAAATAACAGTGGTTACATCATGCCAGGGAGCCTGGGATTGCCCTCGGATGAGGGGGACCACTACATGCAGCCTCATGCAGGAGGAACACAGATGGCTGCAGCAGCCTCCACTCCTCTGCCTGCCAGCAGGAGTGCCACATCTGCTCCTGCGTCATGCCCAAGCCCCCCTGTTTTCAGCTCAGGCTGCACAAGTAAGCTGAGGGAGAAGGAAATCTGAAACTGGGAGGGAGCAGCCCTGGCCCATGGGTCTGCCCCCCACCAGGGCTGAGCTGGGTTGGGAGCAGACTGACAGGCTGGCCTGTGAGTTAGCAGGGCAGCTGGGATGTGTAAGCCCTGCGGGAGCTGCAGGGCAAGGTAGTCCTGCGTCATATGCGACCCCTGCAATAAGAGCAGGGAAATCCTTATCTTTGCAGTGGGGACATATAGTGCTCAGTCACCCAGAAACTGTTGGAAAGCTTTGCCATTGATGGCCAGCTGCTACCAGTGAACCTCTTGGCTTTCCTTCAAAGCCCCTCATCAGCCAAAGCTCACCTGGTAGGTGCAGTGCCTGTCAGTGTGGTCAGCACTGTGCACACTGTCCCAGCAGGACAGGGATTGCCCTTGGCTCCTGCAGTCCCTGTCTGGGGACTTAAGTGAATTTTGATTTTATGGTGTGCCATTCAGGGTAGGCAGACGGGGGGGTCAGCAGGCTGGGCTGATCATAACAGATGCTCTTGTTGGTGTCTGGGAGTGTTTCTGAAGACTTCCAGGACAGCCTGCTTTTAATAAATCTGTAAATCTTCCTATTGCACAGCTTGTGAAGATGTATGCTTTTAGAGCAGAGTGTTTCAGTACCTAACTGCCAGTGTATCGATTACTGCTTCATTACAGGCTTATTTAACAGCCTTTGGTTCTTGCCTCTTTTTATGCCTCCCACAGCCTTTTAAAAATTAAATGCAGAAGCGTAGCGCCTGCTGGTACTGGAGATGTGCACATCGCTGGCCTGCCTGCCTCTGGTGTGCTGCAGGGACTGACCGACACTTTGCTCCTGTCCCTGCAGCAGTCCAGATGGACCACCAGAGACTGTGGTCCTGAGGCTTAACAGGGGATAACTGGCCGGTCTGGGAATCCAAGCTGGAGACCAGCAAGTGCTGGAAATGAAAAGGTGCTTGGCTGGTTTTCATTCAGCCGCTTCACCTTGCTGTGCTGATAGGGAGGCGCTCCACCCCTGGTGTTTGCAAAGCTCTCAAGGCGTTCCTGGATTCTCCAGCAGCATAAGCATGACAGTTATGCTGCACATTTAGAGATACGGCTCTTAGGAAAACTGCCTTGGGAGTGAGTAGCCAGCCTGTGCTGCCCTACCCCAGACAACTGCCCATAGAGAGGTATCTCAACTGACATCAAAGGAGCCAGCAAATGATAGGCATCATTTAATTGCTGCCTCTCCCATGCCTTCTGACTCGTTACTGCAGGTTGTCATTCAGTCTCAGGATTGTTATGATTGTTATCTTTGCTTATGCGAGTAGCACAACGTCAGGATGGGCAGCGGCAGTCTTACCTCTGGGATCTGTATTATTCAGATAAGACTGCATGCAGTGACATTTAAAAACCTGAATAGCATCCCACTGTTGAAATAAAATGAAATGGCATTTCAAGATCTTGTTTGGAGAGAACTGGCCTTCTGCAGTCCCCAGCCTGCAGCTGGAGTTTATGTTTCCCTTATGAAAAACCTCAGGCCAGGGCTGGCAAAGGGAAGAGGGGATGTGTTGTGCCACAGGGACCCATCTGGGCTGGAAGGTGGCTCCTGTGCCATGGCAACAGAAGGAAGCCCCGTCCTTTCCTCTGATGGAGGTGGCTGGTCAAGAGCTCCAGTCACTCCCTTCCTCCTGTGTCCCAGCACCAAGCTTTGTCTGTTGGTGCCTTGTGATTCACTGGCGCTTTTGGGGCCAAATACGACATTTAGAGGGAATGTTTCTGAATAACCCTCTCAACAGGAATCCACATAAAACAACTAAAGCAACCGCAGCCACGTTGCCTTGGTTTGCTCATGTCTGACTCCACTGGAGCCTGAGCCCTCTGCGGTCCCTCACGTTTGCTTTCTCTTTCTCCACAGAATGCGATGAACTTGCCGCCTGACAAAGCCCGGCTTCTGCGGCAGTATGACAATGAGAAGAAGTGGGAGCTGATCTGTGACCAGGTAAGGGAGGTCTGGAGGGCTTTTGGCACATCTCATCGAGAGCACCAACTGGGTTTCATCAGTGGCATCCCTGGGCTTAGAAAAGGGACCTTAGAGAGGACAAGTATTTCAGTAGTTTCAAACACTCATTTCTTTGGCCTTATGCTCCATTATTGGAAACAACTCATAGAAGTCTTGCAATAAGAATTCATTATTTTGCAGCAGAGCAGTATCTCTTTCCCCTCTCATGATGCCATCACCCCTGTGCCTGTTTCCTCTTGAGTGATGAATGTTGAGTATTTTACCTGGCACAGACTCAGAAAGACTGACCTCTCAGAGAGGGCTTTGAGTTTAGTCTGTCTTGACCTGTGAAACATGAATGAATGAAGGGTCTCTATCCAGTGAGTATTTGGCTTTTCAGGCCGTGAGCCACAGGTGGTAGTGGCTGTTGCCTTCAGAGAGAGGTGAACGGTGATGTACTCCTCTTTGCCTTAGAGGCTGAACAACAACCTGGGATTAAGCAGCCACAGATGCTGAGGGATCTTCTGTGTATGAGCTCTGCTGTGGCATGCACACTTGGCAGCAGTATAGAACAATTAACAGGTTAGCTCTGACATGGCAAATGAGGAGAAACATTATTATTTAGAGAAAGTGAAGCATACTAAAGGTAGGAGCTGCATTTGTGAGCCAGTAGCAAAATAAGGTTCTGCCATAAACTTCAAAAGTAATCACTAATGAAAATAATTGATCCAAGACTATGAAAGTAGGATGTTTCCTTGAAATGTAAACACAGTGGTACCAGGATGAGAGTTTGGCAGAAGGTACAGTCATGCTGTGAGGTCAGGAACATTATAATGGGTTTTTGGGACATTTCCTATTTAGCTGTTCCTGTGGTGGAGCTTCTGAAAAAATCCAGCTACGTTAAAGTAAAGCTGAATAAAGAGTTACTAGCTTTTTTTTCTATGAGTTTTCTGTGTAAAGCGTTGACCTATTTAAAGTTTCAGTTTAATGAGACACTGAACAAATTGCTTCATCTACTGTGATTTGTTTCATGAATGTTTGCTTAGAGCATGCATACTCGGAGCATGTACAAGTAAGTGTGAGCTTTGTGCTGGAGTTGGCAGTGGGGCAGGCAGAAGCAGTTAGATCACAGCCTCAATGTGCAAGCTCCCACCTCAGAGCTGACCCACCCTTTGTAGCATGCAGCTGCTGCTGATTCACTCCTGAACTCTGGAGCGAGATAGGAGGGATGAGCAAATGGAAATGAAGGGAAGGAAATTTGCAATCTGGAGTAATCACATATCTTAATAGCTCTTTGCACAACACTAAGTCCACCCCCGGGCTGGGATGAGTCTGCTTGCCGTTGCTTGGAGAGGGTAGGCAGGGAAGCAGCACAGGACTGTTGTAACCAGCAGTGCGAAGCTCAACACTGCGAGCATCCCGAAAGAGTGGGAGATGACCGTGTGCCATGCTTCCAGGGTCTGGCCATCTGAGGGGAGGTGCTTGGGCAGTTAAGGGCTGTATATCTGTGATCTGTCACAGCTCCATAGCCTCTCTGGCATTCCTCATGGGTACTCACCAGCCGCTGTAAATTAGAGCATTGTGAAGCAGGTGTCTGTAAACTATGATAATACAGCATATGGGGTCTGAAATATTTATATCTGTCCACATAATTATGGTGCATAGCTAAAAGTACTTCCAGGAATAGATTTTGTACAGTGTTTTTAGTGAAGATGTAAATTTTTCTATCGGTATCACCCGTTGCACCATTTTACCCTGTTTTGCTTAATGAAGAACTGAGGATGTTAATTAATGTAACAGCTTGAGAAAATTAACTCTTACCCTTCTGGGCTGGTTTTCAACTTACATCTGAAAGGAAAACATGTCCAGAGGTTGCTTTTAAATGATATTTTCTAAACACTGTGTAAAGCAGACCCTGATCTGTGAAATATTTTGAAACTATTGGGGGAGAGAGTTCCACTCTGAAAAGGAACTGTCACTTTTGCAGAAGTGGGACTTGCAAAAGTGGGGAGCTACCAGCCTCATGGTGATGGTAATAACAACAGCAATAAGAATAATAATCTGCCGTAAGTAGGATTGTGCATGTTGTGAATCATTGTAAGGGTTGCTGGGCTGGTTGCGGAGGACTCATCCTGTGGGGTATTTTCTACTCCTTTGTCTGTAAACCTTGCAAGTCATTTAGATGTTGCTGCTGGTGTCTTGAAAGCTTGCTCTGTATGTCTCCTGCTTACCTTATGAGGAGAAGAGCAAAGCCAGTAAACCTGTTGCCCATCCTGGAGAAGGCTGAGGGTCATCTGGGGGGTGAGTGTTGGGAAGGATCCAGGTAGGCAAGAGGATACCATTTTCTGGCATGGTGAGCCACCCTTTTAGTGTAGTCTAGGCCTCTATCCAGTTGCTTGCCATGAGGCATACAGAGGGGGCACAGATGTTGAGGGAAGAGGTTGGGGACATTTTAACAAAGTTCTTCATTGCCCTCTAATGGCAAATTATGGCAGGGGCATCACCATGTCCTCAGCTTTGGAGACACTGGAGGTGTGTGTGCGGAATAATGAATTAAGAGACCAAAGATGAAAGTCATGTGGTTTACATCCAAAATATCATCACTGAGGTATTTGTAGAACTCTCTCCCTTTCCTAGTGGAACTGAGTGAAGGCAGCTGCTGGCTTCCAGGGCTTACCAGGATGGCAGTAAGTTTCTCTAGCAGCCTCTTGGGTGAGGGTCCTCTGCTGCCCCTCAGCTTTGCTTCCAGGGACTGCCTGTGTTGGGGGTAATTTTGCCTGAAGCATGGCCACTTGGTCTACTTAGTGCAGGGACAAATGGCTGTTATCATCTCATTCTGTAATAAGACATGTCATATATAATGTAGTAAGTCATCTATAAAGTTACATACTGTCCTGCTGGTGAGCTGGCTGGATTGCTGGAGCCAGGACTGAGCTACTCTCCAGGTCTGGGTGGGGTGGGGTCCAGGTGGTAGAAATCTGCACCGCATTTATGACCTGGTGTGAGAAGACACTGGTCTTCAGCCCTGCTTGTCCACCTCCTTTCACCAGCCTTCACCATCCATGTGCTTCATGCGCTCCTAGCAGTTACTGCCTGCCTGTTGGGATTTCTGTCAAGCTGGGATACCGCGTCGGATGTGCTGTGTCCTTACCTAACATGTATGAATCCTAAGAATGAAAAAGTTAGTGGGAGTAGTCATAATAATAGCAACAACATGTGTCACTAATGCAGAAAATGTCCTGAATGTTTTTGGAAGCAAAAGATCTTTGGAAAAGCCACAATTTCCTGGTTACAGAATTAATACATTTTCTGGATTTGGGTGAACAAGAGATGTGTTATTTGTAGGAGCTCATGAAAAAGGAAATGTAGAAATCCAGCAGTTCCTCTTTGATGCTGAAGTAAAGCCCCCTCCAGGCCCCCTCTTCCCCCCTCCCCCCCTTTTTTTTTTAAAATCCATAAGGAAATAAAGTGCTAATTCTTGCGATTGATGGTAAAAGAAGCACAGGGGTGGTATTGTGGTTCCTCATCCAAGCTTTTTACCTGAATACTCGTAAAAAGGAAGATCTTGAGGACCAGGTCATCTCACTGCTCTGTGGTCCAGTGCCGCTGGCTCCTTTCATGCACTTCTCTGCGCTTAGCTATTGTTCTGGCACTGCTCCTCAGCAATTTTTCAAGTAAGAGAGAGCCTTTTATCCTTGGGAAGTCAGTTAATTTGCTTTCTAGGTGGCTGACAAAGGCAGGGTTGAGTTACTGCTGGTCTGTGCCTTTCTCCTTTCAGGGCTGTAGATAGCATTGGTGCTTATATGAGTCACGTAGTGGAGATAAAATAGGTTTCATCGGGATTTATTAACTTTGTTGTGTCTGAATAGCCCAGTCCTGGGGCGACTGGGAGAGAAAGCCACCATGTCCCAGTCATGATGTCACCCACCAGCTTACGCTTTCGAACTTTGGAGACTCAGATACGGATTTTAAATTCTATATGTGTGTGGTAAAAATCCCCAGCCTCGACATTCAAACAGCGTTAAACCCCATGCCATATAAATTCTTATTTTGAGAGCAGATTTGGTCAGTGAGTGAGTGGGAATTGCTGGAAGTGGAGAGGAGGAACAGACAGGAAAAAGCAATGATTTTTAACTCCTTGTTTACAGTATCCGGGGCAAGTGAGTTGTGTGCGAACAGCAGTGCCTCATTGTTAGCCAAGAATCATGTTTGTCTCTACGGGAGGAGCTATGGGGAAGTAAATGCTCTGAAGAAGTACCAGAGGACCTTGAGAGGACCCCACACTGGCCAACCTGCACAGTCACTTGCAGCATTCACAGCAAATGAAGTACCAGACTGCAGTCATGCTGGTCCAATGAGCCCTGTGCCTTCCCACCCTGTGTGAGCTCTGGCAGAGCATCAGGTTTTTGAGAGGACGATGGCTGCAAGCAGACATTCAGAGTGTCCCAGAGGCGTCAGGGAGCTTCAGGCTGCTATCACTGCACAGCACTGAGCCCTGGTTCTTGCAGCTTGCGACGTACCAGACTCTAATATAAAACAGTCAAAGCTGGATAAATTGAGACAGTAATAATAGCTGGGGAAAGGCAGTTCTAAAGGCTAATCCCTCATGGCTTTCCAAAGCAGCAAAAACACTTTAAAGGCTGTAAATATTTCCAGGACTAGTAGATGTCTACCACAAGTGAATGTTGGTCGCTAGTTAGAGAAAAGCACTTCTGGTGTCTGGTGTTCATGGATAATGCCTTTAAAATCCCTCAGCCCAAATAATTCCACTATCCAGTAATGTTCAGCATCTTTTTTTTTAATGAAGTCACCATATGAAGAACCTTAGAATCCTAGAATGGTTTAGGTTAGAAAAAGACCTTAAGATCATCCAGTTCCAACCCACCTGCCATGGGCAGGGACACCTTCCACTAGACCAGGTTGCTCAAACCCCTGTCCATCCTGGCCTTGAACACTGCCAGGGATGGAGCATTCACAACTTGCTTGGGCAGCCTGTTCCAGTGCCTCACCACCCTTGCAGTAAAGAACTTCTTCCTTATATGTAACCTAAATCACTGAAAAGATTATTACATAAATACATAATTACAGCTAGGTTTTAAGAAAACAAACAAAACAGTATAGTATCTGCGTCGCAGTCTACTAAATGTGCTTGTTAAGTCTCTTTAAGCATTTAATTTTGAAGTCTCCTGATATTAAAACTTGCAGTTAGGAAAAGCTCCTGTTGCTTTAGCAGATGATGGCTGATTAGTTTGTAAGAGAAATAAACCCATAAGAGCAAAATAGCTTCCCTGGGGGATTAGACTAAATACAGCAGAGCTACACATCAGCATGAGAAAATCCCCAAAAAGGGGAGGAATAAATATGAGAGCTGATGTGGAGTCTTGGTAGTCTGAGACTGCAGTCAGGAGCAGGCTCCTGCTGTGCCTGCTGCTTGCTGCTCACATCGCCTACTTTTCCTCAAGAGCGGACTTTCAGATTGAGCTCCACCACATGCAAATGCAGAGAATAATATTTGGACATAGCTGTCAAGTGGCACAATGAAAATGCTTCTACTTTTGTGGGCTTGCTTTTGTAGAGAAAGACATGGCTATTCAAATGCTGTAATGTCTCTGGAGCTGATACTGAACTATTGAGCGGCAAAATGAGAAACAGTGGTGGTCTCCAAGGTCCAGATACCTCTGTGACTCTTTACTAGTCTGCAGTGGGCCAGATTCTCATTTACTGCAAAGTGCTTTTTTGTCGGTATGCCAGTGTGAAGAAGTTTTAAAATGGGTTAATGGGTGGAAATTGCTTCTAAATAACTTACATTTATGCTCACTGGAAAGCCACAGTATCCTGAGGGGGCTGTAAGTCTGACAGAGAAACTGGTCTAACAGTGTCCTGTAAAAAAATGCAAAAATTAAGCAAACAGTTGGGGTACTTTGCATATTGACATCTTCATGTTTTGACTGATTTATTTTATGTGCTTCTGGTTTTTGGTTTTAATTTTTCTGTTTCCTTTAAAGCCCCTGTCAACATCTGTGGGTGTGCCTGCTCCCATTTATTGGATGTGAGAGTTGGATGCTTGAGCGGACTGTTGTGCACCTCTTGGGATGTGGCAGATGATTTCTGCTTGTGCCAGTGGAGCTGTGTGATGGAGCCCTGGCATATCATTCCAAAACCTGCCTGTAACTCCATGCATCTGTCTTGTGTCTCTGTCCTCCTTAACACAGCAATAGCAGTTCCAGTTAGCAGCAAATCGAACTACAAGAGTGTGAAAGGGACTGGCAATGAGGAACTTTGTGTTTTCTGAACTGTTTTTTAGATAAAAAGGAAATGCCAATTCCAGGACTGTGTTTGGCCCATATATGTGAAGGTGCATGGAAAAAAAATCTGGTTGTAAAAGAGGAAAGAAATGTCTGCACTGTCTTACAGAGCTCTCGCCTGGGGCCAAGGGACCACAGACTGTCAGACTTTTTAGTTCATTTTTTCCTTCTCACCATGATGAATTACTTTTATTACAACAAGCAGCAAGATAATAACAGGAATGACTTTTGGTGTTCTGACAGTACATTCTGGTAACTGGGCAGCAGTGTCCTATTCATTATGAAATAACTTTCAGATAATGTAGTCAAAATTGCATCCTGACCTAATAAAGGGAGGTTTCAGATATCAGTTGTAAAATGCAAAATTTCAGGAGGAAATTGTTATGAGATCTTTCCTCAGGGGAAAAGGCAGAATAGTTTAAAATTCTTCAAGATACAAATAGTATCAGAACTTTCAGTAGTGCTCTTAAGAGGTTTGGACACAGCATACTCCTTGCAGAACAACTCGTGTTTCACAGCAGTTTTTGTAGGATAAATTTCAGGCTGGCTGTGCAACTGGTAAAGCAAGCAAAAATCAAGCAGCTCCCAGAATACAAAATTTGCAGACCTTGTATTTGTCATCAAAATCTTTAATTCACTTCTGAATGTGGCTGATGGTGGGTTGCAGATCAAGTGTCCCCTTGTACTGTTAGGCATTTGGAAACCTTCAGTGAGAAATGAGTCTCAAAGGCAGGTAGGAATTTTTCTTCACTGGAATAGCAGCAGGTGAGCAAAATAAGGATAGGGTATCAGGGATGCTGCTGGCATATGACAGAAAGCAGGAATGTGCGCGTGCATGATTAGATGTTTTACTTGGGTAAAGCCCACCATTGCAGGCAGCCTACCTTCCTCTGTGTCCAGAGGTTGATCAGATTCCAAGCTAAGCAGAGGCACATGGTGTTTCCTGGGCTTTCCCAGTGGGACAGGGATGGGCATCTCGCCCATAATTTCACTTGTAAGTGTGTTGATGGCCTCAGTAGCGTTTGCCAGCTTGCTTCCCACCATGTTGGAGATCCCTCAGCTTGGCCTTCATGTGACACAGATGTGGAAAGAAATCCTGGGAACTGTGGGTGGAAGGGACAAGCTCAAGTATTGATATGCTCTCCATCCTAGTGGTGCTGGCAGACGTGGTGCAGGGAGCTGATCCCAAGGCACAAGGAGCATGATGGTGCTCAGGCATTGTGTTGGCATAGGAAGCAGGATGCTGCTGGGATTGGGTGTATTCTCACAGAATTGCCTTACAAAGGCAATCCAATTTAATATCCTGGAGTTAAAATACTACTTGTTTATTACTGACATATTGCTCTTGCATTCGTTTTTCTGGAATCCAAACAATAAAATGAGACTAGACCATGCAATGTGGTTTTAGACTTGTTCCAAGTGATAAAAAAGGTGTCTGGCTTTTGTGGTCATGGCTTTCAGTCAAACATAGGTACACATCTGCTCTTCTAACCTTTGTCTTTCTTCTTGGTACTCCTGGCTAGCAGAAACCCTGTTATTTCAGATGTGTGTAATTAACATTCAGAATTGTCACTGAATATGTAAGGTATATTTTATATATCAAGAATATATATATATATCAGAATATCAAAATACATGTAAATGTATTTTGTTTGTGTGCATACAAATACATAAAGTGTATACTTACAAATATTCCCACTAGCTCCAGGGCACATCAGGGGACATAGGTTGTTATGAGGGGGAGCAGGGGTGGCCATGAGGGGCGAGAGGAGATCCTGAGCGGACAGGGGAGGTGGCCATGGGGAGTGAGGGGTGATACTGAGAGGAGAGCAGGGATGTCCATGAGGGAAGATCATGAGGGAGAGCAGGGATAGCCATGAGGGGAGACCATGAGGGGAGAACAGGGACAACCATGAGGGGTGAAGGGAGATAGCGAGGGGAGAGCAGGGATGGCCATGAAGGAAGATCATGAGAGGAGAACAGGGATGGCCATGATGGGAGAGGAGGGACAGCCATGAGGGGTGAAAGGAGATACTGAGGGGAGAGCAGGGGCAGCCATGAGGGATGATCATGAGAGGAGAGCAGGGACAGCCATGAGGGAAAACCATGAGGGGAGAGTAGGGACCGCCATGAGGGAAGATCATGAGGTGAGAGCCGGGGCAGCCATGGGCCGTGAGGGGTGGCCACGTGGGGAGATAATGAGGGGAGATGAAGGGTGGCCATGGGGGGTATAGGTGGCAGCTATATAGTATGGGGCACTGTGAAGGGGGCAAATGAGGGGTTGCTGTGACTGGAGATCATGAGGGGCAGCCATGAGGGAGATCAGTTTGCCTTTAGTGACACGGTTTAGTGGTGGGCTTGACAGTCCTGGGGTAACGTTTGGTCTTGATGATCTTAAAGGTCTTTTCCAACCAGGTTGCTGCTATGATTCTATAAGGTATGGACTTCTAAAATGATATTACAAAGCTATATTTTTAAATATATATGTGTGTGCATTCATTTATGTAGTAAGTAAATACAGATGTTTTAAAATGGCTGATGTTTATTCTTGTATCCCCTGCAGGAAAGATTTCAGGTGAAGAATCCTCCACACACATACATCCAGAAGTTGAAGGGCTATCTGGATCCAGCTGTAACCAGGAAGGTGAGGAGTGTCCTGTTTCCTTTTGCCCATCCCTCATTCTGTCCCTCATTCCCTGGCGAGGATGGTCCTGGAGTCTGGGTTCCTTCCTGCCTTTGTGTAAAAAGCCCAGTAAAAGTCTCAGAAGAATCTGAGAGATGCAACAAACTGCAGAGAGAAGCAGAGAGAAGTGGGAAAGACCCTGCAGTTTTCACAGCTCAGCAAGGAGAACAGATGTTGCAAAGAAAAGGACCATCTGACACATGAAACAACTTATTTTAATAACTTTAGCTTCAATAAATGGTCTGACAAATTATCACTGTGCTGTACTCCAAGTCTGACTTTTCATGTGAGCAGTGCTAGTGGATGAAACCTCTGTCAGATGACACTTTTATCACCCATGTGAAGGGGATGTTGAAGTTTTGGGTCCTTTTCTCTGGACATTTGCGTGACAGCAGTTAAATACAGCTGGCACAGCTCCCCTCTCACTTGCAGTCTCATCTGCAGTTTCAGGGTTGTGAAGTAAAGGTATAACCTGGGGTGTATTTACATGGCAGAGTCTCATCCATCCTTCTATGTATTGTTTTTCCAAAATAGTTGGATAATCAGTTGTGAAAGACTTGGGAACTTCACTTGGCCTTTCATAATCATAGCCATACAATGACTTCATGTGAATGTTGTACATCCCTGAATATAGTTTCTGTACCTGCTTGTATTTGTGGCTGGTTCTGATATTTCTGCACTGCTTTGATGGGCTTAGTAATAGCCTCTTGGATTCTAGGGTGACAGTAAACCTACATCCCATTTAGAGGACCATTGCTGAACCTTTGGTATTTAACCACTTTGGATATCGGCTCATATCCTGTGTTGATAGTTGTAATAGCCTTTAAAAAACAAAACCAAGAAAAGGCAGCACAAGCATAACAGATCCTGCCATTCACTGGCTGTGCCTTGTCCTCCACAATCGCTGCTTTGTGTGGCTGTACAATGAACTGAGGTTGGTGCCCTGCGGTAAAATATGTATCTTGACACAAAGCTTCCAGGCTGGGGCCAGCTCCAGCTGTGGTGGAGGTGCACCTCCATCCCTGCAACAGGCGAGGGGCAAACACTGGGCACCCTGTGCTCCAGTGTGCTGTCACTAGCTCCTGTCTTCAGGGCTGCAGTAATGTCTTCTGACAGTGCTTCTCTTGTTGCAGGCTCTGACAAGGAGTAGGAAACCATTTGGTAGGAAACCCTTAAATTTGCCTGTAGCCGAGTGTAGTTTAAAGAAAAAATAAAATAATGGTGAACAGGGGTCTTTGTGTGTTTTCTCCTGAAGGGTTTTTGAAATTCATTTAGTGTTTGGCTTTGCTCTGTGGTTACTCCATGGGCACACATTGGAGCCTTTCTTATCCTAATACCACTATAAGAGTCCCATGACAAATGACAAAACTGAAGGAGCCTAAAAATAACTCCATTGAGTTCCTCTCTTTTGTTTTGTTATTCTGTATCACCAGCAGCCTTTCCTCAGCCTGCGCTGTGAGGCGGAAAGATTTACAAATGGGCTTCTGGACGGATGCGTGATATTGTGGGGAGAGCTCATCTTACCAGGATTATTGCTGTAATTGAAGTGGTGTCAGCATTTTGGCTGATGATCCGCAGTGTGGCCAAGTGAAGGTGGCTCCAAATGCTGCTGAAAAATGTACCTTTTGGCTTGTAATTGGGGTCATAGTGGCTCTTCCTGGGAAAACAGTTGCTTTTCGTCTGAGCTGAATTTTGAAACAGGAAAATGGAAGTGTTGAAAGTATGCATCTTTAAAGGAATTGCAGTTTGGTGGCTATTGGAGTCCTGTAAAGCATGGAGCCTTTTCATTGCTCTCTGCCATGGTTGCCAAGAGCAGCCTGGCCCCCCTAGGGGAATGGCGGCCCCACATGGGGCATGTGGAAACGTGCTGCTTATTTCTGCTGTGCCCTCTCACCCCAGCCTGCTGCCTGTGTCTTGCTACATCAGTATTTTACCTTTACTTCTAGAGAGCTAAGGTTTTATATTGCTTGCAATTACATTGTGTAAACTATCTTGAGAGACAAGGTACTGTGTTTTTGTACTGAGATAATTAACCAGGGTCCAGAGAAACTCTACTGCTCTCAATGACCTGTTTCAAAGTAAAAATTAATAGCACCTTCTGTCTACTAGGACTTTACAGGGAGACCTCTTTTTTCAGTCTGCCAGTGGCTTTCTAAGGTGGGATTTAGTCTTGCCTCAAGAAAGCCAGTGGTGCTAACTAGCATGTGATAGAAGACTGGTGAAAAAGGCAGCTGATAATTTTCACATAGGTCAGCAAGGCAAGGTAAATCCTGTCCTTTCATCATATTCACCTCAGCAAATGAAGTCAAGAGAATTATTAACTGACAAGTAGTACCCTTGATTTTATTGTGTTGCACTGAGAACAAATCCTTTTTTCCCTTGTATTCAGAGCAGTCCTACTTGCACAGCCGCATTGCTTGCATCCTAAGCTTTTATAAAGTCTTTCCAAACACACCAACTCTGTGTGCGTGGTAAAGGATGACCAGGTTGGTTGTTAAGTACTGCAGTTCTAAGATACGATTGCCCATCCACTTCTGCTCTCATTTACCTTGTTCACAAATGAGAATTTACCAGAATAACTGCTCCAGGATAATTTATCCAGCTGTTTTAGTACTTTTCCATGGACAAGAAACAGAAGGAAAGAGAGAAGGGGACAGTCTTTCTCTGACTGGGAGAGGAGAATGCATTGCTGGCTCACTCTGCCTGCTTACCAAAAGCCCTACTGCAGCCCTACTGCAAGCTGGTTTTGCAGACAATGAAGATGAGCTGCTTGACCTGACTCAGGATGAGTCAGTGTGCATTTAGAGATCTTCTGCTGTGACCAGTGCCTGCTTTGAGATGTGGAGTGAAGTGGGTCTCTCACTGTCCCCCAGTGAGGTTTTCCTAGGTTGCTCTTTCTCCTCCCATATGGAGATGACAAAAAACCTTGTCTCCTTTCTACTGCAGTGTCTTACTTCTGCCATTTTATGGCCTTTCCCCAGCATCTGTTTTTGGAAATACAATTTAGTGTGCACAGATTATTACAGCATGCAGATGGCAGCACATGTGTATTTCATTATTGGCTCACACCCACAGATCTGGTAATTTTACAGAAAGGATGGCAGGTTTTATGGTGTGGGTGTAAAGTCACGAGAGCAAGATTAAAGCACCAGACTGGAAATGAAGCCCAAACACTGTAGCTCTCAATGGAGAGTTCAACAGTAAAACGGTATCTATGTACCGGTTTAGTATCTATATATATAAAATAGATAATATATATTACATATATAATATATAATAATAAGCTTGTATTATAAAGACATGTCTATCTACAGGCTTTTAATTGTTTTAATACTAGAAACTCAAAAATGTGCATGGGAACGGAAATTATTTTTTTTTTGGTGCATGTTTTTGTTGACTGCCAGACTGTTGCTGTTGCATTCTTAAGGATTTAAAGGGGTTCTCACTCTACCTTAATATTTTATTTATTCAATCTGTGCTTCATGAGGTGTTGATATTTTTAATAGCATCGCATGAATCTAAATGTTTTTTTTTTGCCTGCTTGCGCAATTACAGAAATTCAGAAGACGAGTCCAAGAGTCTACTCAGGTACTCCGAGAACTGGAAATTTCTTTAAGAACAAATCACATCGGGTAAGAATTTGTGATGACATCTGGTTTAAGAATTTTTAAATTTTTTTTTACATCTATTGATGGATGTCTTTGAGGAAATACCTCTTTGCATGTGAAGCAGTGATACCACTTGATTGATTATTAAAGCCTGAACGGCTCAGTTAAGGGATAACTGGGCATCTCAGGAGAATAATTCAACTCTAATTCTTTCATGATGAGGTTCATCCACATCTCTGTGAAGGCTGCAAAATGATTGCAGTTAACTTCTGCTCTTCCTAAGTCAGTCAGAGCAAGAGTGGGCATTATGTATCTAGAAAAATAACAGTACTGCAGCTATAAGTACATGTATGAAAAACACCCCCATGCTGTTTTATAGCTTTTACATGATGCAGTTCATGAAGCCTGACTGTGAGTAATGTTACCAGGGTTTTACTTCCACAAATAGCTTCCTCTCAAATAGCAAAACTAAAGGAATCACCAGAGACTTAGTTCCTTATCAAACATGTCGTTCCCATCTGCATTGCCACTGGTCTTACCTCTGCGTCTTGGGACCAGAAGCTGATTCAGGACTGGTTCAAACTTTACATCATGTTTTTGAGGTTTTGAAAGCTTTGGAAGGTAACAGACTTTTCCAAATTGCAGATTATTTTGCATAACTCTTAGTAGCCCAAATTTGCAGTAACAGTTTAATACCTTTAAAAAAAAAAAAAAACAGAAGGCAAAGTTACTGTTAAATGTACATCCAAGATGTCACTCTTTTGCTGGTGTGCTGTCTGTATGCTTTCAAAGACTGCTAGAGATAAGAATGTGATAAAAAATAAGCCAGGTCCCTGTGACTCATGCATTAGAAGGTGGCTGTAGTCACTGCCTCGTGGTTTGCACAGCAGTGTGTGCTGGAGGTGAGCCTAGGTTTGGAGTGAAGGTGGGTAGCAGCTGAACTCCTCACAGCACCCATGGCCTCTTCCAGCACCACGACTGTGATGGGAAAGGCACTTACCAGTTCTGGAGCTCAGTACTTGGAAGAGGAAATGCCTAGTTTCTGAGCAATGCAGAGTATGCATAGGACGGGGGTTATGGTTTTTTTTTATTTTTTTTTATTTTGTGGCATTTTTCCAATCATAGTGTTGCAAAAAAAGCTTGTTTCAGTATATTTGTAAAGTTCTCTAAAGGACTGTTTTAAAGTCTTCTAAATAATAAAGAGCATTTTTAAAAAGCCCTATTCTCCTGATTGAGAAAGCAAAAGTCTACTCAGAAGTGCTGCCTTTCCTGCAATGGTTCTGTCTCTAGTTTATATGACAAGAATTCCAGTAACTTCACATAGATCACTAAATGGTCTGATGTCTGATGATTTTTCTAACAGATGGGTCAGGGAGTTCCTGAATGAAGAAAACAAAGGCCTGGATGTTCTGGTGGAGTACTTGTCATTTGCACAGTATGCAGTCACGTAAGTAAGACTTGCCTCGTACTCTCTGGGCTTGCAAGGCAGAGCAAGAACCCTGCCATCTATACAGAACAAGAGGAGGATATGCCAGGGCAGAGGCACAGCTGTCTCTGCAGCAGAGCTCTCCTGCTGGTAGCTTGGTACAATACTAAGTATGCATATTAGAACAGGGAAAATGCTAGTAGTGCAAACCTATTGCCTTACAGAGGTCCTATGCAAACCTATTGCACCATAGGCAGTCCTGGGGTAACAGTCAGATTTGATGATCTTAAAGGTCTTTCCCAACCTAGTTGATTCTATGATTCTGTGATAACATTTTGCAGAGAAAAAAAAAGTTTAAGCCTTGAGATTATTTCTAAGACCATACTGAGCTTTGGCCTCTGACTGTCTTAGGAGCACAGTGAAAAAAACCTCAGCAGATGTCTGGAAGCAGGCAAGAATCAGTTTGTAATTAGTACCCAACTCCAAGGCATTATAATACTGTCTACCATGTTCAAGGTAACATCCACATGCAAACTACTTCTCACAAGGCTCCTGACAAGCAAAGCAGTTGACATCCTGTGCAGTAGATGTGTTGTAGGACAGCAATTTCAAGGAATTTCAAGACAGCTTTTTCAGTTTGATGTCTGGCTAGCTGGGAGTCAGATTTAGTCATTTAGATAATAAATCATTAAACACACTCAAAAGAAATCACGGGGAAAAAAATCAGCTTTCATTAGTTGTTATATCATACAATTGGAAATAGATGTTCGGCTGAGGTTCTGTTTTTGTATATCCACAGGCTTTCATTCAGGATATTGCAGCAGTACAATTTGGCATGAAAGTGTGAAAAGAAGCAGTACGTTAAAGATATAGTTAGGAACTCAAGCTGAGTAGAGTTGATATTTTATTTTTAGAAAAGATGCCATCAAGATGTATGTATATCGTTGCACAGAAGAGAGATTTTTAGTGGGGTTGCAGTAAAGTTAATGGAGGAAAATTACACGTTTTAAAATGTTGCTAACACTGGAAAAAACTGTGCATAGCAAAAAAGAGCCGTTTGTATAAAGGCTTTCTTCCTAAAATTATATGAATGTATGCAAGTTAGCTTGCTGCATTTTTCCTCTCTCTAACGTGGTAAACATGAGTAATAACCTCAAAAGCTGTAAAGGGAACAAGCAGTTTTTGCTTGAAATAGCAGTACAATGGGCAACGAGTCAGAAATCAAAGAAAATCTGTAATGATTATGATAATATAGTACATATGCTGGGAGATACATGAGGGCCAACAACGCTGTGTGAATGCTGGGTCACATATTGGTGGAGGAAAATGAATTAGTACTTGCACAGTGTATTGATTTATTGAAATAAAATGGAGACAGCTTTAAGCATTCCCACTCTTCAAGGCAGAGCCTGTTCATCAGCAAAGCAGTCAATGTTGTATTTATTTTACATTGAAGTAGAATAATACGTAGCTGTTTGATCCCTCTGAAATTGGATGCTCATGTGGTTAGCTGCTCCCTTTGTCAAGGTCCAAATTTGTTGCACTGTGCATTTGAAGCTCACACTTAATTGCAGCCGAATGGAAGTTAGCCTGCATTGCTTTCTTCCTTTCTTTTTTGATATCTTTTGGGACCTACCCATGTTTAAGAGACACGTAGATGTGGCACTTAAGGACATAGTTTAGTGGTAGACTTGGTGGATTAACAGATGGACTTGATGACCTGGAAGGTCTCTTCCAAAGCTAAACAATTATTTGTTTCTGATTCTACTAAAATATGCAGATGTCGAACAGGAAGGAAAATACTATGTGCATTTTTTCTGTCTAACCTGGAGATGGAATTTCTATTTCCTTTCAGGTTTGACTTTGAAAGTTTGGAGAACAATGTGGAAAACTCAATGGACAAGTCCAAACCTTGGAGCCGATCTATTGAGGACCTGCACAGAGGAAGTAATTTACCCTCACCAGTTGGCAACAGCATTTCCCGTTCTGGCAGACACTCGACTTTAAGGTAGGGCTTTTAATCAGGCAGTGGGTAATCTGCAAATAACGAGAGCCAGAGTGAGAAAAGTTAGTATGGTTTTCCAATTAGAGTATTTTCATCTTCCCTCTTTTCACAGTATAGGCTTGACATATGTTGGAAACATGTCATTGTAGTGACGGTTTTGAGGTGGAAAGAAATGCTAAGCTAGTAGCACAGGGCAGTTGAGGAAGAGACAAGAATAACTCTGCCTCCCTTTCCAAGGGCAGAATGGTCTAAGGATGTATGTTACATTTCCATCAGGTACAATGTGGCTTGCACAGAGGAAGCAATTCCTCTTCTCCAAAATGTATCTCAAGATTTCCATGGTCTTGGCCAGTCTGGTGCCCTGATCTGGTGTCTCATCCAAAAAGGTCTCTTCTAGCAGCACATTCCTTCCATGCTGCTATTAGCAAGACTTGTCTTCAAACCTGCTGTTAATTCTCGCACCACCCTGGGCTTTACTGTGAAGTCTCTTTCGAAATACTGTTGGGGATTTTTTAACCCAGTTTGTGGAAAAGGACTGAATGACAGTCAACTCTGTTATATTCTTTTGATGCTTTACCATTATAAAACATACTGAATACTACCTTTAAACTGGCAGTGCTGTTACCTAGGGGCGCAGCTCAGAGTGCTGAATGCTTTTTGACTTTTATGGAGTTTTATTACATAGTACTGTGAGCATAGAAGAGTCCAAAAAAGATGGAGCCAGTAAGAGGACCTTTTTCCTGCATCTTGGACAAGAGGTTCAGTTTTATTTTGTCAGTCAATGGTAACATTAGCTCTTTAGATGATGTTGGGTGTCTTCTGTCTACAGCCTGAGTGGTCGTGGATATGATACCTGGAAGATGTTGTTCACAGACATCAGGCAGTAGAGAGAAGGAGACAGTTCTGGTAAAGAAATACAGCCTATGAGTGCAACAAAATCATTTGACCAGTTGATTATTATTTTTTTTAATATTACAAAGGTGTTCTTAGTGATTTTGGTTTTCTTTGGTCTTTAATTACTGTGACAGAGAAATGGTAGAGTCTTGCAGGAGAATATCTGATTCTGCTCTCTTTGGGAGGCGTGCTTGTGATTAGTTGCAGTAGAAATGCGTGTCAGGTATATGTTAAATGTCTCTTACATTTTTTTCTCTTCGTTTCCTTCCATCCTTTTTTCCTTTTTTTACATCCTCCTTGATTCCTTACCTTCTTTTTTTTCCATGTCACTGTCTCCTTTCTTGCACACTTCATTCCCCTTCCTCTTTCAAATCTTTTTCTCCAATTCTCTTTCTCTCACATCCTTCCTTCCTCTGCTCTCATCCGCCTTTCACATACCATCAGATTGGTTTCTCTCCCTGAGCAACTTCAGTTCAAATGCTGCCATAACTGCTTTTCAACCAACTGCCTCTGGAGCAGCTTCACTTTGTGCTCTGCTGATGAGGCTTCGAGCTGGAAAACCTCGTAAGTCCCAGGTGCAAGGTTACCCACAACATGGGCTGTGCAGGGCATGGGACCCATGTGGCCAGCACTGCTCCCCATGCCTTATAATCTGGTAATAGTACGTCTTGGTAAAACAACCACCTGAGCATCAGGGGGAGTTTTCAGTTCCAAAACGTGCGGTTATCACATTATAACTTCAAAGTGTAGTTTGCTTCTGTAGAGTGGGATTTTCTAAAAGAAAATGTGTTTTACTTTGGAAAAAAGTAAAATTTCCTTTATCATATTGCAGATAATATTATTACTTTCATACCTGAGACATAGAGCCCTTAGTCATTGTCCGTTTTATTTCTTCTTTTTTATTACAAATAGAGACTTCACTCATATCCAGACAGACACAAAAATGTAACCTAATACAGTGTTTTTCAGCAAAGTGCTGCCTCCTGTCTGCAGAGCCATCTTTTTACCTGGACAGCAGGTAAAAACTGTCCAACATTTACATGGAATTAGCATTTGTGGGCACATGGAGACTCAAGCCATAGGTTCTTCTGTGTGGAAGCTCCTCTTCTATCTTTGCATTGAAACCCATTCAAATAGAGAGAAAAGAAGAAGTGGTCCTCCCTCTTGGATAAAGAAGGAGTAGGCTGATAATCTTAACAGGGTAATTTAAAATTCAGGAGCTGGACTCATCCCTTCAATGCCCTACCAGTATGAAAAATGAGAACAGATTTGGCCTGGATTCCTTTTTATTAAAATAGCAAGAAGATTTGGGGAGACACTGTTTAACTTGTCAGCTTTAACACAATGTTTTTTCATTTTTGGTGTCTGTATGGCAGTGTCATTGCACCAACTCTCCTGCCTCTCCTCAGGGTTCAATAGTAGTAAACCTGCTGTAGTCCTCAGAACCCTGAGATTTAATTATACAAAACAAACAGGAGGTAAGCACAAAGCAACACTAGGAAGTGCTGGCAAGGTTATACCCCATGCATGCTTTCAAACGGTGTGGCTCCATTGTAGTGAGCAGTTATGGGCAAGCTTGCTGTGGTGTGAACTCCCCCAGCGGTGACGTGGGCATGGAGGCTTTCTCTTCGTTTGCGTGGCTTAGGCTATCCATTTCTAATTGTGACTTTCACTAGCTTCCAGTAGGTCTTTTTTAGTAGTGTTAAACCCTGCCAATTCCCTGCTCACTGGGTTTCCTTGGCAACTGAGGTTTGTTTTTTTTTTTAGGAGGAGGGACAGGGATTTGAGAAGCAACCACCAAAATGAGGGCAGAAGAATAAAAGCAGGGATGAACCTTTGGGGGTTTTATTGCTGCTTTTTTGGGGGAGGAGGAGTATTACTTTCATATGAGAGTTATACTCTCCTGTCAGATAAATATTAATGCAGACTTTGTAATGTCCCAACCCATTAGAAATTCCCTTTCTTCTGAGGCAAATACTTCATGTTTTGTATGGATGGAACTGGGAAACTTACTTTATTCTTCAGAATCTGTGGAGTCCATAATGAGGGCAATCTAGGCAAACGTATCTTAACCTATAAATGGGCTTTGAAAGCATTCAACAATTGGACTTAAATTTGACACTGACTTTGTATGCTACAAAGATTTAATTTGGACTTTGCCATTAGCACATTCACTGTTCAGGGATCAGCTGACTTTGTCGTCGTAATTTGTGTCAGATACTTGCTACTTTAGCAGAGTATATTTTCGAGCAGCCAGTTGTTGGTCTTGTAATTCTTCTGGTTCCTCTGTCTGAAGACCAGGATTTTCACAGACCATAGACAGGCAGCCGTGTCCCTGGCAGCTGAGGGTAACTCCAATGCAGCGTGTACCTGTTTTCATGTAGCCTGCTTGGTTTTGTTATGGGACATTTGTAGGTGACTTTTCTGGTCAAACTGGGGGAGAATTCCCACCTGTGTGTGTTTATGGAAGTGAAGAAACACGCTTGTTCCCTTGCAGGAGGTTACATGGGATGAACATGACACAGCAGAGCTAAGTGCCACCTGGGTGTGCATTGGCATCTGTAGACGCACACTGGCTATGTAGCATGGGAGGAGGAAGGAAGACTGAACCTGGCTGTTTCCATTTCTTTTCTCATCTTTTTTAAGTAGCAGATATGTCCTCAGATTTAAGGATTAATAGTTTTCCCAGATTCCGTTAGATGAAGATAAAAACAGCAGGCTTGAAGTCATTTATTCTCTTTACATGTGTGGGACCAACCCAGGTTTCCTGCCCTGTTTGAAGTGGCAGAAAGGAAGCATTTTTGGGCAGCACAGCTATCTGCTCTCTTTTCCCTTGCACAAATGAAGGAGTTGATTGTTCCTCACTGGTTTTAAAGCTTCTGGGGCCACTGAACACAGGCTCATGGTCATTCCCTCTCTGGGCATCATTCCCTGCAGAAGGGTGCAAGTTCAGGGTCCCCATGGCCAGCAGACCCAGCTTGTAACTTCCTCTACGAGATGAGACAAATCCAAAATTAGTAGGAAGCACCAAGACCTTCCCCATCCAAAGTCCCTTTCTGCTGTCAGAAGTACATTCATAATACAAACACCACCACTTCCAAACAACAACAAAACTACAGAAAGGCAATCCAAACCCCACTAAACCCTGGTGCAAATCAGCAGTCCCTGCCCACATAGTGTTGGGTGAGCTGCTGGTCCACCCTGGATCTCTGTCCTTTGCTCTTGTTGCTCCTACTCAGAGGGAGCTGGTATAGGCAAATGAGGGCATGATAGTCTTTAGCAGATAATGAGACAAAAATGATGGGAATAACCATCTATGATTTATATTCATTATTAATGCAGTGCATTAGAAGTCTGCACTGTTGTACTGGGCACATGTCCTCATTTTAAGTATGTTAGTTCTCCTGTTGTCATTGGTGGAGGTGGCAGGAGCTTGTATTGAGATTTGTTCTCACTTACCATGGTGGAAAGGGCTTTTACTTACTTTGAGTATCCCAGTTTGTTGCGTAGGTGTTTTGATTATTCATTTGTGGGCCTTCAGTGTCAGTGTGAGCTGTTTTGTACCAGAAGATGCCCTTGCATGTTGTGTTTTTCAGGTCTTGGTTATATAAAGTTCTGTTTGAGTCTGGGACACGCTTCATATTTTCACCAGTTCTCACTGATAATGTTAACAAAGTAAGTGGGACATGGAGGCAGGAGCAGTTTAGCAAAATTAATTTCTTCAGGCTGGCTGGGCTGAATGGTCCTTTTCACCTTCCTGTAGGAGGCTGGTGGGTAAAAGCCCAGCCTAGTCTCCAGAGACATCACAGCAGTGCCTTTACAAGCACTGCATTAACTAAATTGTTAACAAATTGAATAAAAATGATAAATGAATTGTTCTTGAACAGAAATGTACTTCTGTTACAGCTGGGAGAGAAAAAGAACCTTAAACTATACTGTTTCAGCACAGATTTAGCCTTGATTTTAACAGTGGTTGGTTTTCCCACCCAGGTGCAGTGTCCGAGCTGTGGAGACGCTGAATCCTGCGTACTCCCCCTCGGCCTCCAGCATCAAAGGCATGAAGTTGTGGAGCAGCTCTCTCTCCACGTGTGACATCCCATACCCACTGC